AGAACTCAGGCTGCAGATAGAGGACTCAGGCTGCAGAAAGAGGACCCAGGCTGCAGAAAGAGGACTCAGGCTGCAGAAAGAGGACTCAGGCTCCAGAAAGACTGCAGAAAGAGGACTCAGGCTGAGAAAGAGGACTCAGACTGCAGAAAGAAGACTCAGGCTGCAAATAGAGGACTCAGGCTCCAGAAAGTCCAGGGCGAGGGAGTCATGTTCAATAAATCAAATGTATTCATAAAACACAATTCATACAGCGTAAGCCAAAGTCAAGCCAAAATCAATAAAAACATCCAACAGTTATTTTATTGAAAATTCATAAAAGATATATGTTTTCTTCTTTATTTCACACAGCAAATAAAAAACCACTTGGCTGTAAGCAGAATCTTGTCCGCCTCGTTGAAAGAATACAGCTGTTTTGCTGACTTGTCCAATAAACTCCCCTCTCTCCTGTGGTGCCTTTTGTACTTCTCGATTATTGCTCATATGGCGAGAATAAATTGCACAGTGTCGAGGGATTTCTGTTTCTGTTTTCTTAATTTATGACCCAATTAGTAATCAAAAGAAGAGGTCTGGATGTGTTGAGTCGAGTTAACACGGTCATGAACATGTTTGCGTCTATTATCAATCATTAGGCCTGTCACGATAACAAATTTTGCTGGACGATTAATTGTCTCAGAAATTATTGCGATAAGCGATTATATTGTCGTTCTGAGATCATTTGCATCGATTACAATGATAATGTAGGTACACCTTTTCAAAGAGAAATAAACTTTTATTTTTAACGAATATTTAACGCTAGAACACAATAAATTAACAAACAACCAAAAACAATAAATAAAATAGACTCAGTCTCTTAACAAAAAATGACCAGGAATAAAACTGCCAGGACCTTTGTAAAGAAAATATGAAACAGATGCCTCAAATGTCAATAATTTCTCAGACTTTATGGCAGATTACGAGAAAGAAATACCAACATGTTGACTTTGTGTGGCTTAAGACAGGATCTCTCAGGAGTAGTCCCACCTCCCCACACACCAGGCGAATGACAAGTGACTGACATGTGGGTTCACCAATGGGGCGTACAGAAGTCCTGCTGCGGTAGCGCCCACCGGAAGTAGCGGGGCAGGCTTTGATGCTAACAGCTAAGCTAGCGGGTTTTTTGTGTAAAGTTCTACTCCAAGAATGCAAGTCTGCAGCATCTCTGTGTTCAGAGACCTTCTAGAGACTTTATATAACAGCAGTATGTGTTCACGGAGGTGCGCCATAAGTGTATTTTATTGCTATGGTACGGTACTTCTGCATCGGCGAACACGCTAACGCTAGCTCCGCTAGTATAGTCACTAATCAAGCCTGAATGAGAACTCAGCTGCCGGCATGTGTTCACAACTACTGTGTCCCCCATTGTCAATCCTGGTTAAGTCCTGGTTTAGGTCCTGTTTTGGCTGTATTTTGTATTTTTGAGTAATTTCCGTCTGCTTGCTAGACCGCTAATGTTCCCGTGACCACTTTGCGGCTCTCTGACCCGAGAGAGACGGGGGAAACAAACAAGCATGCAAATGGGATTTATCGCGGCCAGAAAAGTTATTGAGCAAATTTTATTTATCGTGCGATTAATTGATTTATTGACTATCGCGACAGGCCTATCAATCATCTCACTTTTTACAACATTTACCTTCAGAGTTCAAAGGCAATGTCTCCAATTAGGATAAACAAAATGTCATGAATACATACCAAAACTGTGTGTCAAATTTCCCAAGTATTTGGTTTTTATCATTGCTTTTTTAAAATAATTTATATTTTATTGGTTTTCTTTTGCAGTCATTCATTAATCATTAGGCATTATACAGACAGTATGACCACAGTTATTTGTAAAAAAAATAAAAATAAAAAATAAAAAAATAAAAATTAATTAATTAAAAAAATAAAATAAAATAAATAATAATAATAATAATATAAAAAAACAAAAACAAAAAACCTATGTATATATATATGCATATACACACACATATACACATATATACATACATACATACACATATATATACATATAAAATAAAATAATAATACTAATAATTGTAATGGAGAGGGCATCGGAGCTACACAATTAGCTTTGAAACCTTATTTGCCGTGTCAGAGCTCCTCAAAGAAGGGAACATTTATTGGGGACAGTTTCTTTTTTGTTAGAGTTTTTGTTTGTTTACACTTTTAGTGTGTCATTTTTGAAGAGCTCTGACTTGTATAATTTTAAGTTAAAGTCACTCCGTTCCTGGTATTCTCAATGTAATGCAGATAGTCCTTCCATTTGTTTGTGTACATCATAGGCCTGTCCAGAATGTCGAAGGACATATGCTCATAGGAAGCCACCTTGGCCAGTTCTTTATCAGGTTTTTATCATTGCTGTGTGACAATGATAAATCCACGTTCCATTTTCCATGTGATTGGATGTTGAAAATGGCTCAAAGTTCCACCGTTTATTGATCATATCCAGGTTGACTAATTATCCATGATCTATTATCAAATTAAAGCAGGGGTTTCTAACTTCCAATTACCAGATAATTGAACGTTGTAACTGAATCCATCTTCTCTAAAGCTGTTTGGTTACATGCAGTTTCACATTTATATAGAATTTGACTCTTAAGATTTGCCTTTTCAAACTGAAAGTATAAAAGGACCACTTTCACTCAGCCAATCAGCTCTCATCAGTCATGGGGCTCTTTCGTACAAGTATGTTCAAGACAACATGTGTTCTAATACGTATGTTGTGGTCCTATTTGTTCAAAAGTGTTACTCTCTGTAGAGACAAACAACATGTATTTTTGAAGAATAAAAGTTAGGCTCCCCAGCTTTTAGTGTCAGAAAGTAAGTTCACTCAACTGTTTGTGCTCTGCTCATCCTTCAGCCACGTTAGGCAGCCAGCTGTCCTCTTCTAACGATGGCTTATAAGGATCTATGGCGGGTGGCGGCGTGAAAAAGCTTTCTCAATGGGGCGTAAACTCAACCCTGTGATTCTACATCCTCTGTCTTCTCCGCTCCACTCGGTTCGTTCCACCTGAGAGTTTGGGCACTGACCTGCACCGGCTGCTTCTGCGTGTCTGCATCTCTGCTCAGCTCTGCTCTGTTCAGCTCTGCTCAGCTCTGCTCAGCTCTGCCCATCTCTGCCCATCTCTGCTGGGCTCTTAAGCCCAAAAGGCAAACATGAGTTTCCTCCTCTCTCCACAATAAGGGGAACTGCTCCATGAACGAGTTTCCTCGTCTCCACTTTTGAGTGACTGAACTCCAAGGCCTCAGTGCATTTACTTTGTAAATGAGGTCATTCTTCTCATTGTCTCTACTGTCTGGAGCGGTCTGAACAGTGAACGCCGACGCACACAGACAGACAAGCTTTTAGAGCATTAAACTTTCGGAGGCGGCTGCAGGGGTGGATCTGGGACAGACCTGAGCAAAGAGTGTGGGGGACGCGAACAGCTGTCATTCAACAGTGAACAGCTGCCATTCAACAGTGAACAGCTGTCATTCAACAGTGAACAGCTGCCATTCAACAGTGAACAGCTGTCATTCAACAGTGAACAGCTGTCATTCAACAGTGAACAGCTGTCATTCAACAGTGAACAGCTGTCATTCAACAGTGAACAGCTGTCATTCAACAGTGAACAGCTGTCATTCAACAGTGAGCGGCCACAATTATTCCAGCGGTCAGAACGAAACAGAGCACTGTTCAAACAATATCGAAACATTTCCTATTCCAATTATTGAAACTGTCACTGTTTGAGTGACAGTTTGAGGTTGACTCTAAAGTGTATTATTTAGAACTAGTGAACTGTGATTTAGAGCGAAGAACAAGTCAGATGGATTGTCTCTGTCACAGAGACGGAGTCTTTACGCACCAAAGCCATCTGGAATTAGATTCTCAGTTTTTTCAGACAAAACAAAGTCAGGCCAAGCTCTATATAGTAAACGTTACGTCACACATGGAAACGTGTCGCATTAAGAGACAATCAGAACATATTAGTCATTTCACCTTGGAGAGACCCATGAGGGAAAATGCAGTTAGAAGTTATTAGATTGAGTATGTTTGGCGCCCTAGGCCCGGGAGAGATGCTGTTGAGCACGGCGCTTGCTCGCGCGCATAATCCCCCCCGGGGCCTAGGCACTGGTGACGGCAGAGGCAGTAGGCAAGCACGCTTCGATGAGAGAAGGAGGAGGTGTGGCGGCGGAGGCTTGCAGACTTCAGAAGGCCGGGAAGTGGGCATCTCCGGCTTTTAACTTGCTGTCCTGGTGGTTATTGGTTGATTAGATGTGGGCGTTGCTGGTCTGATGAGCCGAGGATGAGCAGGCTTGTAGGTCTGGGCAAGCAGCAGCCGGGTCTACCACAGTGAACTTTCGCGAAAGCTCCATAACATGGATACACAATCATAGCGGATACACAATCATAGCAGATACACAATCATAGCAGATACACAATCATAGCAGATACACAATCATAGCAGATACACAATCGGCCGATGGAAGACGAGATCACTTGTGCAGCCACCCGCTTCCCCTACTCTCCCCTTTATCACATAAACACATGTGGTAACCACTTCGATCAATCATTAAAGTGAAAAAAAGTATTCCTTAAACATATAATCATTAAAATCATTATCAGTGTGGTGGATTTTACTGATTCTATTCTGCAGGAAGAAACAAATAAGTCATTATGTAATCATATATTTAGATGATTTTTCAAATCAAGCAAAACAAAAACATCAGAAATGAGCTGAGTCTCAGATTAGAAGCTTATTTGCCTTTACTTACTTCTTTTATTCTGACGCTAATAGTTTACATTCTTAAAATATTTCACTGCATTACTTTCACTATGTACTTGTACTTTTATTATTCACTGCTAATTTCAAAAACTATTCTGATTCAGGAACCATATTTACAAATATGTTTGTCTGTTTTGCATTTTCATTGAGCCATATTCTTAAACATATATTCTTTAATCCAATAATATCTCTGTACGG